ATTTTACTTTCAAGATTCAGAAAATGTCACATATTTCTCTTTCATAATTGCCAAGGCATAGTATCTTTTTCTCCCCTTTCTGAATTAAACATTTTTAAAGTGCAAGCCCTCATTTTATCAGTACCAGAAGGCATTTTCATGTTCAGGCTGTGGATTTTGGCTCCACCTGGCATGGTCCTGCCCCTCCTTCTGCACTGAATGTGGGGTATGGAGAGTGTTTTCATACATCCATCCTCCATGTACTCATTCTTCTCTCTGGCTGCAGTTGCACAGGGTTTTTTCCCCTTCCTAAATACATTATCCCAGAGATGATACCACTGTCAGTGATGGGCTCAGCCTTGTCCACTGAGTCCTTCCTTGGAGCCAGCTGGCATTGGCTCTGCCAGACATGGGAGAAGATTCTAGCAGAGAATCCACCACCAGTGCCTATCCAAAACCCTGCCACACAAATCCAATGAAGACTTTTTCTCATTCTTCTTTCCAGTTATAGGCTTTGCCATCACATTTGAGAGGTCCCTTTCTGTGAAAAGGTGATTGGCTACCCCAAGGGACTGTAGACAGAGTAGAGTTAACTTTGCAGAGAGAAATCTTCCTTCAGAACATTAGATATTTAGTTTCTGTATGTAGGTAGCAGGAAGCAATCAGCAGTGCTGAGATGCTGCCGGGATGCTCATGGCAGGTGCACCAGGTCTCCTCATAACCTGCACTTTCCATAGATGGGGAGTTAATTTCTCCCAACAGGCACAGATCTTGTCCATAATTGCTTCAAAGCAATGTCATTCAATGGTATTTCTAGATCTGTAACGTATGAAGTGCAATCTCTAATTAGTGAAAATTGGCTTCTTCCTCAGATAACAACTTTTGTCAGTCATGCAAGTACTGAATTGCCTGAAATCACTGGATTGCATCACAGCCTCTACAGCTCCAGAGATATTGAGCAAGTTACCTCTGGAACTTTTGTGCTTGGTACTTATTATGCATTTACTCATCAGAGATTATGCAATGATTAAATCCCCGTATTTGGCCATGTTCCTTCCGGCTACTGCCTTCTCATGCACTTTGCTTTATCAAAGGAGTCCTAAACCTCTGGAAATTACAGAAGGGAATTTCCCCCATCTGGTTTTGTGTTTCCTGGATGATCAGCAGTATTGCTGTACAGTTTTATTTACATCAATTCAGAAAAGGTACTAGTAAGCAATAAAACAATATCTCTTTGTGAGGATGAAAAACATGGAAACTTGTTATCTGCTAGTTCATTAACAACTGGCAGTATGTTTCTCATCTTATTGTGGGGCACAGGTAAAGATACTAATAGTGGCTGACATTCAAGTACTTTATTCTAGTCTTTCATCTTTAATGGTAGACCTAAGCCCATAAAGTGACAATAATCAAATGGTTAATGATTATAAAGTTCCTTCTCTGTCTTTCTCTTCAAAAGTCCATGAAGTATTTTAACCCTTGCATGAAAACTAGGTAGACTGCTCCTGTGCTTTTCTGTGATGGGGAGAATGATGTGGTAAGACCATGCCCTCCCCTGCAAATTTTTTACTCTGTATGGAGGTGTTTATCAAGGTTGAACTATTAAGTCCTCTTCAGCACTTCAGACTTTCAGCAAATATTTCTGTGAGTAAAAGTCCTTTGGGATATAAAAGAGGAAGCATATTATCAGGATGCAGCAGCTTGGTGACCAGAGAAAGTTGCCCCTGGCTGTAGCTTTGCAGTTGGTGTCTGAGAGCAGTTTGACTCCCCAGCTCTCCTCTTTAACATCCCCAAGCTGTTCAGCACCATCAGTTCCCCAGTATTGCTTGGGGAAAGGCTCAGTTTTCCCTAATGCATTTCTTCCACAGGTCTGACTGCATCGCTCTGCAGCACTGGCACCTAGGCTGTCTTTGCTGTTATACCCACAGGAGGGGTTTGAGCCTGTTTTCTCTGGCCCCTGGAACAACAGGAGGAAGCTTAGGAGAGGATGAATGCTTTGTCAGTCTGTGTTTTGCTGCTCTGCCTTACTGTGTCTGCAGTTATTGTGAGGGGATCTGAGGAGGGACAACAGGAGGGAGAGAACCTTCTTTGCTGAGAAGCTTACAGCAAAGTCAAGTCAGGAAGACAAATAAGTCAGGGAACTAAAATAAGAAACAAACAGCTAAATGTGAAGAACCCAGAAAAAATAATTTAGGGTTGACTGTGGCTTGGGAAGGAGCCCAAGTTTAAGATCATGTTCAGGGAAAGACCACATCCAGCTTGAGTATCTGCAAGGCTGTTCAAGCTAGGCTTTCCCATCCTGGGCAACCTGTCCCAGTGCCTCACCCACCTGCTATGGCTGCTCTGTGCCTGGTGGGAGTTTCTCTTTTCACAGCTTGTGGCTGATACCTGTCATGCTTTTGCTGTACCCTCTGAGGAGACTCTGGACACAGCCCTCCCTACACAGGCCCCAGGGCAGGGAAATGATGGCTTCCCTTGACCTGGTGTAGCTTTTGAAATGCAGTAGTGTTAAGACACTGAACACATTTATATGGCACCTGCAACTGAGCCAGGAACAGGTTTGGAGGTGCCACTGCCACTGGCCACCCTGGGGCCTGGCAGCCTCATCTCTTGGCTGTGTGGCAGTCCCTGGCCAGCCCACACGGCCCCACTTGGTGACACAGGTGCCAAAGGAAACCAGGTTGAAAGTTTGGTTGGGTCAGGGTGGACAACAGTCACTGTCCCCTCACTCCCAGGGAATAAAGAAAAACACTTATCTGGGACCTATAAGCACCTCCTTGTTTTTATATATTTTTTGCCTTCTGTTTCCACTAGGGGTTTGTGAAGGTAAAGAATGATAAGATACAGTTATGTGTCATATCACAACTAGCAGAGCTTTCTTCAGCTGTTTGCATTAAACCTTTTTGGATTGTTTTAACTACTTTGTGCAAATAAACTGAAGGCACTCTGTATACACCAAGTACAAACAAAATGACAGTGCTCCTGAAGTTGGGGCCATCCTTGTGGCTGTTGTTCCAAATCTAAATCTTAACTTAATTTCCTAAAACTAACAAAAAATGAGATAAAAGGAACACCTTTTAAAATGAGCACATGTCCAGCTGTGACAAGGTACATGACCAGCCACGGTCAGTTGTGGGAACCACAGCTGTGATGGAACTGCCTGAGGGCAGGACTACAGGGTTAGGGCTGCCTGAGGAGTGTCATTTCCCTGGTATCCAAACTGCTGGGGCTTAGGTAGAAGTGTCAAAGCTCAGATGAGAAGATTCTGTCCAAGAAGCACTCAGTGGAGAAGAAGTAGAGCTGTAGGGTCACAAGGAAGGCATGAGGTGCAAGGCCACCTCCATATGGATAAGGAAATGGCATATGAAATGCCAAAGCTGGGTATAGGTATAATAGGTTTGGGATCCATGAAACCTGTATGTAAAAGAAAAAAACTATCATTCTAGTCAGCTAGTTTCAGGCATTGCCTAATGCTGACAGTCTTTAAAGCAGTGCAGACATAGCTGCATACGGAGAGCATTGATCTTTTTGAACTTTTGTGGTATTTCACTATGATCCATAAGACAGTTACAAAAAGCTGCATTCATTAGGGTATGGGTTCTTTGTTGCCTCCTCCCCATCCTCTGGCCAGTTGCTGTGGCTCTGCAGAGAAGCATATCCAGTATATGTGATGCCATGCACACTGCAAAGCTGCTCATGTATATGAAATTTCATATGAAATTCCCTCAATTCTCACTATTACATAGAGAAATTAATTTCTCTGAATAACAGTCTGTTCTAGAGTTCAAGCTGTTTCCATTTCTGCAAATCACCCATTGAGAGAGGTACTGGCACTCTGTGAAGCATAGAAGACCTGTAATTATGCACTGCCTATGACTGTCCATTGACTCTACCTTAAGAGAAAGCTTGAGCACTTAAAGCTCAGGTTACTCTATAAGCACCTGGAGCTGGCAGCAGCTCCTGTGAGCACTGGCTGGCCGGGACATGGCCTGCAGCCATCACAGTAGTTTCACAAAGATCCCTAAACAGCATGGGAAAGTTCCATCCTTGAGTAGCAGCTCAAACAATGTACTTGGAGTGGTGACAGAGCCTCTCCCTGGTGGTTTCTCTAGAGCTGTGCGTGGCAATTTTAAGATTGTTTGTAATTTTGTTGAATGTTCACAAGGTACAATACTCTGGTACAGTTTGGGAAAGCAACAAACTAGAGCTATTGTTTATGAAGCACATTAATGCATTCTAGAAAGCACAGATTTGGAGAATATAGGCCCCATTTCAAGTTTCTTTTAAGCTCACTCTGTTGCAGATGAAATAGTTCAGACATGTAATGAGCTGCAGGAAGTCATGGCAAGGAATATATGGTTAAGGAAACGAAAACCCCATTTCCATGGATACTCAATCCTGCTCATGTGTCCCTGCCAATACTACAGTCCAGAGCTCAGAAACAGTAATCTGGAAAGTCCAATGTTACGGTGTTGGCCAACCAGGAAATATTAATGTAGCACTTTGGTGTTGGTGCAGCTTGTGACCCAGCTCCTTGCCACACTGAAATGAATCTGGCTGGCTCAGCCCACCTGCCTCTGCTCTCAGGCTGGGTTCATTAAACTAGAGCACAGCAGACACACAGTTTCTGTAGGTAATATTTAAAGTTACCTACATTGACTTTCCTCATTTCACAACCCACACTCCTACCCCCAAAACTACACACGCTTCACCCACAGAACCATTACCTCACAGCCTTTTGTTTCCTTTTCTTTCAGACTGAATCTTTTAAGCAACTTTAAAAACATTAGAATATTCCCCAGCACACTGTTATCTCCGTTCGTAGTATCCGGAAGGAGAGCCGAGGCCAGGGCGAGATGGAATGTGCCATGGGGAAACCTGCTGATGACATGGAACCGCCCAGGTGGTGAATTCCCGGGCTCCTGCCACCCCTTTATAAGCAGGTGGAGGTGCGGCAGGGCTGGCAGGAGCAGCAGGCACAGCCAGGCACTCACTGGATCACAGCTGTGTGTGCAGAGGGAATGACTGGCTGCAGCAGCAAGAGCATGGTCCTGGTCTCCCTGCTGGGGCTCCTGGCACTGCTCCTGTGCGGCACCTCGGAAGGTGAGTGACCTCAGGTGCTCTGCTCTGGGAAGGGTTCCTGCTGCTGCTCACAGCTGGCAGCAGTGAGGGGCTGAGCTGGAAGGGAATGGTTTCAGCAAAGTGTGCTGTCTCCTGTCTCATCCCCCTCTTCTGTCATGGGTGAGCTGGATGGCTGGGGTTGAGCAGAGAGTGCCTTAGACAGCAGGGCCAAATGGAGTTTATTTACCTTCTTGTTGTCCTTCATTCCAGCACAAAGTAACCAGGACTGCTGCCTGTCCTACACCAAAGTGCGTCTGCCTAAGTGGGCCCTGAAGGGTTACACGGAACAGCTCCCCAGCGAGGTCTGCGACATCCCTGCCATCATGTAAGTTACTTTCTGAACCTCTGCAGTTTTTTCTGACATGTATTAACTTTAGGATGTCTGTTTGGGCTAAACCAAGGATTTGAATGTTATAAGAGAGATTTTTCCTGCCTTTTCAAAAAGTTAAATTAACTGAAGAAATTGTATATCACACCTGTAAACAAAACGCACAACCTCTAGCTGATAGGGACTGCTAACCCAAGGGACAGTCATACAATGTAAATAATAAATCTGACTCTTTAGCAATCAGCTGTGCAAACAAGGTTCTGTCTCCAGCTAAGGGCCATTCTGGCCAACACAGAGTTCTCCCTTGCCAAAACCTGTAAACAGATACATAAGTGACAAGATTTCTTCTAATTCACAGGGATCGGATGTTTTACTTACAAGGTTTTGGCCTAGATGTTGATCTGTCACCTTAGCTTGACAGCACCTATTCTCAATTTTACAAATTGTTTCTAGCATCCAGCAAAGGTCTTTGCCTAAACAGATCAAATAAATTCAACAACATTTTATGGTGCAAAAAATGATCCCTGAGACTGAAGTAGCTATTGCATTCAACTTTCTTTTTCTTCATATAATATTGGAGGGATTTGGAGCATCCATATCTAGCTACTGTTTACAAAAGCAGTTTCTATTGGTCATTATATAGAGTAACTGTACTCCACACAGCAGTTATTGGCAGGGATTTCTGATTTCTTTACCATTATTTCTTTTCCAGTTTCCACACTGCCAGTGGGCTGAATGCCTGTGTAAATCCTAAGGAAGGCTGGGTGAAGAAACATCTCCTTTTCCTGAGGTAGGAATCCATCTCTTTCCATCTTCTGTCAGACTCAGCTACTCCTTTCTGGAGTCTTCTCAGAGACAGTCATGTCACATGCCCCCTTTTCCACCTGAGCTATTCTCTCAGGGGAGAAGAGAAAACTATAATTGAGGTCATTATTTATGTGTGTTCTCTCTTCCTTTTAACAGCCACAGGCTCAGGAGGATGTCAGCCTGACGCAGTTTCCAGCAAGGAGCTGAACACAGACGTGGCTGAAGAAGCACTTGAGGCTCCCAGCTGAGGTGGTTTGTACACTGCTGTGTGCTCACTCACCTCCAACTCTGGCTTCTTTGGAACCATGAACTTCTTGAGTTGATTCATATTGCATCGCTGTTTTGCTTGAGTTAAGCATTTTGTTACAGTTTCTATTTTTACTAATATGTTTATGTTACTGATAGGACATGAGTACTGTTTAGTAAGGTCTACCTTGAGCTGTTGTACAGAGTGTGAATTTTATTAAGTTTATTGCATGTTGGTTTTGTTTTCTTCAGCATATGTAAAGCAGGTTATTTATTCTGTTTATTTTGTTATTGTCTTGTGCCAAAATGTTTCCTTTAAGCTGTAGTTAGCATTATAATACCTCTTGAATTATTGTTAAACAAAGTCTGTTTGTAGAAAAAAAATGGTAACTGGAGATTTTAAAAAATTAAATGTTAAAATCAGCACTCTCTGTGATATGTTTATTTCTTTTTAATTGGAAACATGACGTGCCCTTGAAATTAATTGCTTTGTTAAGAGCTTCCAGCTGAAACAATTGCACAGGTGTGTTGACACCTGTTACAACCACTTTCTACCTTACTCACTTTGCTTGCCCTAGGGGTAGCCATGACCTCCACAGGATATAATTCCTTTCTCACCCCCAGCCAGCTCCTATATATCAAGTTTTGTTTACCATGAAGATTTAGCTTCATCTTAACCAGATGTGAGAGAATTCCTTTTGCCAGTTTCTCTATTTATTCAGGAGAAGCCTTACACATTGTTACTGGGCAAGCTTCTCTAGCATATCCACCAGGAGGATTCATTGTGGTAACAGTCTTCTCTCAACCTAAAGGGCTTTCTCTAGTGGAGAAACTTGCAGTGCTTTCCTCTGCTTTTTGTGTCTGCCTATGGTATCCTATGGCTTTTGGCATAATGAGGTTTTCCTGATGCAAGAGCCCTTGATGGAGGTCAGGGATGCCTGATAAAAAAAATAATGAGACCTTATGGAAGAGATGGGTGCAGTCAGGCTGGGGAAGGCTGTTCAGCTTTTTATCCTCTATTACATGGCCCATGTGGACTTCAGGGATGTGACCAGATAGGGTGGGCAAGTGAAATCCTCCCACTGTCAGCATCAGAGTCTTATGGATAAATTTACATCTTACCTTTTACTATCTATTAGTCATAGAAATACAATCACTAATTTTAATTTAATTTTTAAACTTAAAGGCAAAGTATTTTTGGTGCCCTTGAGAGAGGAGCTGAGAGATACTGGGTTTTTAAAATGGTGTTCATGAGTGTAAGCCTGTTATTTTCTGGTTTCAACACCTGCTAGAGCTTAAAAATTCTGCTTGTGGCTCTACAAATCTGGGACTTGTCAGTTCCCTGTGCGTGAAGCTCTCAAGGAGCAAGGAATCTAAAGGAGCAAAATTAATTAGCTTTAATTTCCTTCAGGTGGATTCCTGATATTGCGAACATAAGGTATTCTCCAGGGAGAAGTAATTACCCGGCTTGTTCCCTGGGCATTCCCCTAACTTCTGGGCAGAATTGTGGAGCTCTGTCTCATACCTGCTAGTACTGGTACAGGCTGTTTGGGCTCAAAGAGTTCACAGGTTAAATCAGGCACCAAAAAGTGGTGCAGACATGATGAATGGGTTTGTGTTAAAAGTGCTGGAAGCTGAGGTTCCCCAAGCCTACCCTGGGAATGGCTGTTAGGAACCAGAGCTGTAAAGAACTTGGTGCAGAAAAGCCTGGAGTGCAAGGGTTGAATTTAAAGCAGGGGAGCAAAATAAGGAAGTGAAGACCAGTGTGTGGAATTCTATGGGTGGCTCTTAATTCCCAGTTCAGGCCTCTTTAAAGTTTAGTAGTGCTTCTGTAAGTCGCTCTTCCTCTGCTCATCCATGCTGCCATTGCTACAAAACCCCACATGCTCCATCCACAGAGCTATGACTTGAGGGATTTCTTTTTAGTTCCTCCTATTCTGGGCAATTTTTTTTTATAACCAACCTCCTGGGAAGAGGAAAGATATTGAAAATATTGGTTTCCATGCTCAATATCAGAAATTGCTAAGGTTGTTATGTTACTGCTAGGAAAGTCTGTGTAGAAATAGCATGTCCCTCCATGCCTTCCTGAGGATACAAACAGGCTTTATAACTGAGTGCTGGGACTCCAAAATCATCAGATCAGAGGCACATTTCTGTATGTAACCTTAAGTGGTCAGTTAGAAATTCTGACAGCTCTGGAAATCATGACCCTTTCTAGGAAAACCTGAATCCTGATTACTTTGGTGGGACTGTTCTGCATGTGAGTAGGTGAGTTTCTGTCTCCTCTCTATCTTTGGCCTTCAGCTCCTAATCCAGCCTGTGCAATTTTGTTGAATAATTTGAGATGGAGAATTAAATAATGGTCATTTGGAGACCTTTTCTCTCCCATTTGCATAATGTTTAAAAAACAATTTTTTTTTCTTGCAAAATGCTTTTTATTATTGCTTAGATATTTGGGAAGTGGATGTGAGAGCTTTCCCTTCAAATTCTGAGCACTTTATACTTCAAAGTGTCTTGCTTTCTCTGTATTGAAACCAGTCCTCAGTGATTCTTTTGCTAGCTGCAGTATTGCTCTTGAATCCTATTTGTTTCTATTCTTTCTGTGGTTTTTTAAAAATAATTTTTCTGCTTCTTTTTTAATTCCTTTTTTTACCATAAAACAATTTCACACCTTTCCAAATCAGGAATTGCAGCCTTTTGTTGTGTTAGGACCTTTGACAGAAAAATTTCTGTTCACATATGGAATCATAATTAGATTTACTCATTTCTAAATTTTTTTATCACACTCCAGCACAAAGCAACAAAATAACTAGCATTGCAGGGTCAGGAATTTTTGTAGAGAATAGCAAATCTGATTATTTAGTTTTGCTGTTAAAATATAAAACTTGCCACATTTCTTCTGCTGGAGAAGTACTGACAAGTTATTTATCATTTCTCTTCAGCTGATGGCAGCTTCCATAAGTTGAAGGCTGTTTTATTCCTTCCTTGTCTCCTGATTTTTCCACCAAAAGGGGAAAAACACAAAGAGGGGTTGTAAAGCCCCTGCAAATCCAAGAGACAGATGGGTGAATGGCCTTGTCCTGCAGTCAGGTATATCTGAAAGCCCAGCTTCACTGGGTGTGCTCAGTGACAGTGACACTTTCAGCCCCCCACAGGGATGGGGACAATTGATCCATTCTTTTCAATTACCAACCAGCCCATGTGCAGCCTGACTTCACTCCTGATGAACTGGAGTGCACTACTCAGCTGCAATTTGTTGAGAATTGAATTGGGGAACTCCAGAAGTGCAAAGGGCTTTAAGCTCATGACACCGTCACTTGATTCTAATGGCACCCACCCAGCTGGAAAAACATCAAAACAACAGAAATGGATCAATTGTAACAGACCTTCTGTACACTGAGTTCAGCTGTGCTACACCCTGGCAGTCTTGCTCCAAATATCAGGCTACAGGCAATATCCCTTGCCAAAAAATGAATCATAAAAGAAGCTTTTAGTCTTCAGAACAAGCCCACTGCATTGTGCATGCTAAGTATACTAAGCAATTACAGCTGTATGACTTTACATCAATGAAAACTATGATTTATGTTCCCATGATCTTGTGGTTGCTCTATTCTGGGAGGTGTCAGCCTTAACTGAGCACTGTTGCAGTCCTGAGTCTGTAAAGGCTTTTGAATTGCTGTGTTTATTCTTTCTGTGCTGTCAGGTGCAGACAGCTTCCAGCCAAAGCCCTCCTAGAGCTGCTGGTGTTAGAACTTTTAAATGTGATGTACAATAGCTGCAGTCCTGTGGCTGCTATTGTACATTAGCCATAGAGTATTGCTCAGAGACCTACCACTGCAAATAAACCCAGGCACTCATTTAATAGTGTTTTAGCTTTCTTGAACTTCTAGTGTTATTCAAAGATTATGCAATACAAAACACATGTTAAATATAAAAGCAGCAGATGAAATTTAGAATACTGCATGGGTAAAAAGCAAATATGCCACAAGAAAAGTAGAAACTAAAATTATATGTTTGATTTTTGTTTTTAAATTCACAACAGCATTTCTATAGTTTTGCTTCCATGACTTCATTTATACCCCCAAAATAAGGTAATAATTTTACTTGTAAGCCCCTGCATTTAAATTTCCATGTTCCTGAAATTTTCCTGCTCCCTAACTTTAAACTGAAATCAACTGAGGTTCATTAAATATATAATTAATTACCATATATATAAATTTAAAACCCCCAACCCCTTGATTAATTTCTTTTGTATCCAACACATTTCAGTGTATCAGGTTCTCCTGAAGTATCTTGATTTACCTAAAAATCTAAGCCTCATAATGATTATTTTTTCTAGCCCTCAAAATTAACCCAGACAAAACTCTGGAAAACAAATTATGAAGAACATCTCAACAGCTTTTTGCACCCAAGCTAGTTGCATGATATTTCAACACCCAACTCATGTTTTGGTGTAGCAGCTGCAGTAGTGATATTTAACAGGAAGGTCATTGCCATGTTTCTTCCAGTGAACACTACTTCCAGTTATCAGAAATTATGATCTTAAGCCCCTTTTTCAGGCTGTTCTAGCTGAGGCTGAAGATGCCCATGTTCTTTCTATCTGTTTGGTTTATAGGGTTTTTTCTCCTTTATGTCTTTACTGCTGGAGAGGGAAGGAATGGCCTCTAGAGACAATTCAGCACACCCAGGCTATCATTAGCTGTCTCTGTGTCACAGTGCAGCAGAGGACACACACAGGTAGCTGTAATATCAGATAAGTTTTCTGTTAGACACTTGGTTAAGAGATGTGCCCATGATAAGAAGGGAGAGAGAAACAAACAAAACATACAAACCAGCTTATGGAAATGGGAGCAGGGAGGCCCATCTGGGCCCACTTGGGCTTCCTGATGAGAAAACCTGAATGATAGGATCCATTTAATAGATAGCAACTCAGGAAGC